CCGTGGGAGCTTGAAACCAGAGACTGATGGGGGCGTTTTTTGTGTGGTTTTGTTTGACTGTATTTTGTGTGAGATGTGTCCTTAAAAGATAGGGAATAGTGTCTCTAAAGGTCCCAAGGACTTTTTTCTTTCCTTTTAAAAGATTACTTAAGCTATTAAACGCAGGTGTGAATTTTCTGTGACAAACTCTCTTAGGCACAGGTCTTGAGTTTTTGGGTTGGGTCAAGATGCTGCTGAAACCTAATTCGGACTTTACACAGAACAGATCAATTTGAACAATCTTTTTTTTTTTTTTTTGAAGTAATGCTCTGATTAGATTGAAAAACAACATGAAAGATTCTTCAAGAAATCACTTCTGTATAATTGTGATGTATTAATTTTTAGTATTCTGATTGTAAATCTGAGCTAAAATGCAATTATGGTCTGTAATACTCTCTGAAGTTACTTTGCGATACTATAGGTGCTTGCCATGCTCTGCTGTCTGTAGTAGAAAGCAGCATTACACGTAAGTGGCACCTGTGCTACAGCCTAAGGCAGGGAGCCTGCATGTGCGATGGGGCCACAGTGACAGATGCCCAGGGGCTTTGCCAAAACCTCTTCTCTCCTGCTCTTTTCATGCTTTCATTCACTGCTCTTTTCAAAATTGTGACGTTGTTATTTCCCTTGCTTCTGTGTCCCTGCATATGTTTGGTTTCGATGCTGAATGTCTTGTGGGCTGATGTATCTGTATACTGTGCTTATTGCTCTTGCGGGTGCAGAACTTTGGTATCACCAGGTTTTCCTACCTTATGTTGCACCAACACTGACGTGGATTTCTGTGGAAGGTAACTGCCACTGGTTACTAGCTATAGAAAAAAATCTCATTATTTTATATAGCTGCAAAACTTGGTACAAGCCTACTGTAATATTAGGGTGTTTGTGTCTGTGTAAGACTTAAGAGATGTTGCCATACCTTCTTTTCTGATGAGACTGAAGGCCAAGCTTCTACTATTTGTATTTCTCAGGCACTTCAGGATAAGCAAAGTAAATAATCAGTATGGCACACTCTAGAGAATAAAAATGCAGAGAAACTCAATGTTTACTAATGTTCCTCTGTGTCCTGAAATACATTCTTGAAAGAACACCTCTGTAGTTTTGGTTTGTTCAAGACCTTGGGTCTAAGCGCTTGCTTCCCTAGGTGCTGTGTTCCTTTGAGATGCTGTGATTTCAGTGGGTGTTGGGAGAAGATCTCGGCTCTAGCTGAAACAACACTTTGGTTTACATGTTCACTTAAACATTATGTCCCTATATGTGTTCCAGATCAAGTTGTTTATCAGCAAACTTATTAAAGTACACTCTCTGAGTTTAACCATAGTCATGAAAATTCTGTAAGAATGTACCTAAAAATACGTTCCCAGTAATCACTGCAGTTTTTTACTTCATGGGTTATAATCATTTTAAATGAATTGCTTTATGATACAGTGCTAAATACACATACTGTTGAATGACTTGTGCAAATAATGATGTTATTTTTAATTGTGCGCCAATGATTTATTTGTTTTTTTCCTTTTCTTTTTCCTTATCTTTGTCAGGAAAAGAAGAATACATTGCAACGTTCAAAGGATCTGAATACTTCTGCTATGATTTATCGCAAAATCCCATACAGAGTAGCAGTGATGAAATAACTTTGTCATTTAAAACACTTCAGAGGAATGGACTGATGCTTCACACAGGAAAATCAGCTGATTATGTCAATCTTGCGCTGAAAAATGGAGCTGTCTCCTTGGTCATTAATTTGGGCTCAGGGGCCTTTGAAGCACTGGTGGAACCCGTGAATGGGAAATTTAATGACAATGCCTGGCATGATGTCAAAGTAACAAGGAATCTGCGTCAGGTAACAGTACATGGATACAAGAATAACTGACTTTGTTATGGCTAAGTGTTTGATGACTTGAAAAATGCATAGTGTGACATTGGATGTTTAGCAAGCATTTGGTCGGTGTTTTATTTGCACAAAGAGGGATATTCCTGCCGCACTTGAGCAGGGGCATATCTAGAAAGTAGTAGGGCAAGTGGCTGTCTTAAAGACCGTATCACTTGAGTATTTCTTTAGTATAGTTGTCTGCCCTTCTGGTCTTGTGTTAGTCAAGACCAATAACTTCTCATTGGGCGTGAATTTCTGCAGCCAATTTGCTACTCTTTTATTTAAACCAATATTTTGTCTTTTTTTCTGTCTTAAAAAGCGGGCGGTAAATTCCTTGTCAGATAGTCAATGCGCTGTGTGGAGGCATCTTGTGTGTCGTGCCACATTTAACTGAACGAAACAGCACAAGAATATGCAGGAAATTGCCTGCGTACTTTTAGTGATGTGAAAGGTGGCGGTTGTGCTTCAATAATTCAATTTGAGGTTGGGATGGGAGGGATGTGGGTGAAGAAAACTCCATATATGTGTGTATACTGTATGTGTTAATGTACAATATATGCACGTATGTGGCATTAAATGGTTATGTATATTAATGTTTTAAGGTACTTTATTAGTAGTAACATGTAACCTTGTCAAGTGCTATATTTTCCTGCCC